TATTTATTTATTTTAAAAACTTTATTGTTGACAGTATTAGAGATGTCCCCCATTATCCATGCCTTGCCTCCTCCACCCAGCTCCCACGCCACCCCACCCCACCCCACCCACCCCACATTTTTTATTGGTATAAACTGACACAATGACAAATGTCTGGATTAAGAAGACAACATGCTTTTTGCCTTAACTGACAGCTATTTATTATCATTACAAAGATCTGGAACACAGTGACTCTTTGTTTTTCTGAAAACGATTCCTGCTTAGAATCATCTTGTACCTAGATAAGTAAGCAAGCACAAGATATACTGAGATAAGACATGGAAGCATTGCAATTCTGTGTCTGGTTTTCAGATACACATTCTTGCAACCAGAGTTTCATTTGGATGAAAAGACAAATTCAGCAGGCAGGGGTACCCCCCCAATCCTCCCAACCTCCCCACCCCCATCACTGTTCACTATGACCTGTTTGAGTTTCTCTGCCCAATTTTTCACATCCAAAAGGACCAAGTCAATATCTGGGAAGATAGTTTGAAATGGCATGGCCTTGATTAATTCGTTCTACTATAATTATATAAGAGTTCCTGCTGGGCACTTCTGAAAAATGTTCTATAATGAACGTCAGTAAGGAACAGAGAGGCCCCTGGGAAGCCAACTCCTTCAAAACCTGTTGCTTGTGAGATTTCACAATGGCAAGAAACATTTGGGCTTCGCTCTTGGCAGTACGCTCTGTCCAGATTGCTTGGCGTCCAATTATAACACTCAGCAGTTTCATGCCCGTTGGCAAAAGAATTAGATTTTTATTGGCTACTATTCAGTCTCTAGAACATACAGTGACTGCCTAATGGGAGCTTGTGGGTATTGGTTACTGGAAATAGAAACCATTCAAGGTGAAGAGCTCAAAATTTTCCAAGTGCATTTGAAATGATCAAAGGACCGGGTTAGTGGGAAGGACGATAGATTGCTGAGACTCCTTCTGGCTCCAACATCCATCAAACCTCTGCTTACCAGGTGCTGGGTTTGCAGCATGTTAGCATTTTCCTGTTTCCTCCGTAGGCCCTAAAGAAGGTGCCCAGAACAAAATTAAATTTTAATATGTCCTAATTTGAAAAGTGTGAGCCTCAGTTTTCTTATTTGATAAAGAGAGGTATTTATAATATCTACCTATGGGTTTTCTATGAAGATTAAATGTGATGATGTACTGAAATGCTTTGTAAACTAAGATATTGTAACTCAGTTCTCCATAAGAAAATCACAATTCTATTTGGTAGAACAGAAGACCTTATTAAAATGCACATCTCTTCAAAAATAATAATAAAAAGCCTTGGCCAGGTAGCTCAGTTGGTTAGAGCGTCGTCCTAATTCACCATGGTTTCAGGTTCAATCCCTGTTAGGACACATACAGGAATCAATCAATGAATGCATAAATAAGTGGAACAACAAATCAGTGTTTCTCTCTCAAATTAATAGATGCTGACTCATACACAGAGTTAGTGACTGATTTTGATTAAAGGCATAAAGAATTCCTCGCTCTGTTTTGTTGAAGGAATAAATGAAGTGAATTTGAATTGAAATTGGAAGGATGAGTGAGCTTTGAACCAAGTCTTAAAGGATGAAGAGAACAGGGTAGGTGAAAAAGAATGTTCTAGAATCAGCGGTTTCCAACTGGTGTTCCGTGGACTACTGGTGGTTCGTGAGGTCCGAAAGGTTGGCGACCGCTGTTCTAGATTGAAGGCCTGCATGAAGACCTGACAACACGGAGGGTTAAGCCTCTGTCCTAGATGTGTCAAGGGGCATACTGTGAGATGAGATTTGAAAGATCACTTGAGGGCAGTTCATAGAGGACCTTGAATGTCATAATAAGGGTTTGGATAAAATTCCATAGTTTAGGGAGTCGCTGAAGGTTTGGGGGAAGGGAGGTTGACATGATGTACAAACATCTGTATTTTGGCACGATGCCTCTCAGAGCAGTATTGTTTGCCCAAGAGATGTCTTGGACAGGCAGACGATGGAGACAGGGTAGCTAGAGGGAAGCTATTGAGCAGGTCAGCAAGAGTGACAGTGAGATAAAAAGCAAGGCTGCAGACACAAGGGACATAAGTGGTGGGATTGAATGAACAGGATTTGGCAGCCGAGAGGTAGTGGAGAGAGGGGGAGTCCAGAACCAGCAATCGCATAGGAGGAGGCAGAAACATTGTAGAGTTGATTGAATAGGGCCAGATCGACTAACCAGTCCTTCCTTAGCAGTCTTGTGTTTTGGGGTCTGTTATCAACTCTGGCACAGCCAACACACTCAGGCCAATCAAATCCAACTTGGACCATTCTCCTCCACTGTTGCCAAGACCTCTGGGAGGTCCATTGAGTGCGATGACAGGCCCTTCCTCTTAAAGGAGAATGCCAGCTACTTTCAAAGGAACAGGGCACTAATTTTTTGGTCCTCTTTTCTCTATTTGCATCCTCATGGCAACAGAGAACACACAGATCGTTTCTGCTTTCAGCGCTGCCATTGAAGATTTGCAGAGCTGCCGGGTGGTCAGTTTTTGAAGACAGCCTTTAGGTTTTGTGTTCTTTTTCCTTCTTGGCCCAGCATGAGTAGTTAAATGCAGGAAATGAAGATCACATTGTCCCAGTGCTCACTGACTAAATCCCATTAGATCGACAACCTCTAAGCACTGATTATTTTTTAAAAGTTGTCTTCATTGGCATAAAAATGCATCAAAAGGTGTTTATTTAAAGTTCATCTGAGGGTGGAGCTGGGTTGTGCAACAGTCAGGGTAGTAGTTATGAAACAGTCACATTATCCATCATGGAGGAGATGCTGAATTCTACACAGGAAGTGTTCCGGTTCCCATGTTTCTGCGTATTGGGTGTGGGTGGGGTGGTGCCTCCTGTATATGCTCCAACTGGGGATGGATATGTGCCCTGACAGGGAATCAAACTCCCAACCTTTTGGTGCATGGGAGAACGCTCCAACCTACTGAGAGTTTCAAGCAGAGGCTAGAGGAGTGAAAGGGCATACAATGAGTGAGAAAAAAATCAGTTTAATTAGGAAAATTACCAGTGAGGCAGGAACTATTCGTTGTCATTCTCCTTCTTGCTGATCAAACCCAACTCCAGTCAGGTATTGGCAGCTGTATGTTTCAGAGAACACGAGGCTCCTCTCCAGCCCAAGTGGGTTGTCCTTAATAGTCTAAGGCAGGGGTGGGAACCTTTTTTACTGCGAAGGGCCATTTGGATATTTATAACATCATTTGAGGGCCATACAAAATTATCAACTTAAAAATTAACCTGCTGTATTTGGTCAAACTTTTAATTAAGTCACTCCTAATGCCTTGGCAGGACCAGACCAAATGATTTCGTGGGCCTTATTTCACGTTCCCACCCCTGGTCTAAGTCAATCACTGTATATTACTTCCCCTCATGGGTGGCTGCTTTGGCACAGGCTGTGTCCCCCAAAAAGACATGTTGAAGTCTTAAATCCTGGTACAGGGAATGTGATCTTCTCTGGAAACAAGGCCTTTGCAGTAATCAAGTTAAGATAAGGTCATTAAGGTAGACCTTAATCCAGTCTGACTAGTATCCTTATAAGAAGAGAATGCCACCCTGGCCAGGTTAGAGCATCATCCTGATACGCCAATGTTTCAGGGTTTAGCCCCAGTGAGGGCACATACAAGAAGCAAACAATGAATGTATACGTAATTGAAACAACAAGTTGATGGTTCTCTCAAAAAATCAATCAAAAAACATTAAAAAAGAGAAGGCATGCCATGTGAAATGCAGACACACAGCGAGAATACCATATGGCATGGAGGCAGAGACTGGAGTGATACACCTACAAGCCAAGGGACATCAGGACTGATGGCAACACCAGAAGCTGGGAAAAAGGCACGGAACAATTCCTGCCCTAGAGCCTTCAGACCTTGATTTTTGCCTCTAACCTCCAGAACCGTGAGACAATAAATGCCTGTTGTTTTAAGCTGCCCAGTATGAGGTGCTTTGTTATGGCAGCCCCAGGACACTAATGGAGCTGGTTAATGAAATTGAGGGAAAGCAGCTAGGGACTTCTGGGAATGGGTTTTCTAGCTCTGAGGCTTATTTGACCTTAACAGGAAAATTAAGAAAAGAAAAAAAAACGGTAATGAACATGGGTTACCTAGAATGACCAACTCATCTATTATTTTCCCTAGGGGAAAACACAATGCTTTAAATACTAGCTAAGCTACATGGAACTATGTCTCCATGTAGCTCATAAAAATTAATGTCAAGAGTTTGTAACAGGGCAGGAAGCAGAAAGCCGGTGGGACCGTCAGTACCTTTATAATGAAATGTGGTAGGAGCTTGCCTGTCTGGTTCCTGGTTTCCGTGAGAACTTTTGGATGATTCCATCTTTGATACTTGGAAACATTTTCCTGTAATAATCTGGGTGTGGTGTTAACTCAATCTAAGGTCATTGGTTCCTTAAGGCTGGCCATGAATTTTTTTGGATATTTTTCTTCTAGAGAAGGAATTGTGCAGTGGTTCTGCTAGGTATTATAAGTCTATATATACACCAGAGGCCTGGTGCATGAATTCGTGCACGGGTGGGGTCCCTTGGCCTGGCTGGCAATGGGGCTGATCAGGGCCAATTGGGGCCAGCTGGTCTGGAGGAGGGATGGCAGGAGGTTTGCCGGTGGAGAGAGGTTGGCTGTGGGAGCGCACTGACCACCAGGGTCAGCTCCTGTGTTGAGCGTCTGCCCCCTAGTGGTCAGTGCACGTCATAGCGACTGGTCATCCAGTCATAATGGTCACTTAGGTATGGTGAAGGTTATTCATTCACCCAGCAGACATTTGGGTCATTTTCATGGGCCCCCAATCTCCAGAGCCGGAAGCTGCAGGTGTGGTCAAGGAGGCCTCGCCGCCAGCACTAGAGATGGCGGGTGGGCGTGGCCTGGCGTGACGTGTGGCGTGCCCGCGCCGTGATTGGCTGGCCGGAGCGGCGTCACGTGGGCGGCACCGACCATCTGGACTCCCGAGGCGGCCCGGCGGCGGCTCCCGGGAGCGGGAGGCTCGGGGCGAGCGCGGCGCGAGGAGGGCGGCGGGTCCTCGGGGGCTCTCGCGTGGGCCGAGCGGCGCGCTGCCGGGGCATGGCGGGCTCCCTGCCTCCCTGCGTGGTGGACTGCGGCACCGGGTAAGAGCCGCCGGCGCTGAGCACCTGCCCCGCGTCCGCCCGCTCTCACCTGCGCCGGTCCTGGGTCCCGCCCACTCCCATGCCGGCGGCGGCGGCGGCTCGCCTTGCAGGCTCCCCGGGCCGGGAAGCGCCGCGCGCGGAGGCGGTCACAGTGTCGGGGAAGTTTCGGGGCTGAAACCGGCGGTCGTTCGCGCCTCTTCCCGCCCGGGGGCCTTCTGGGTTCCGAAAGGCCACCCTCCAGGAGGTGTTGCGGCCCCACGGGCTCCCGGCTTTTCTACCCCCTACGGGGGCCCCACCTCCCAGCCTTAAAACCCGGCCCTCTTAAGGCCCGGGTGCAACCATGGCGCTGGGAAACCCAACCACT